ATCTGTAATAGAGTTACTATAGGACCAGGTTGATATAACACAATTTCATACAATATATATAATTAGGGGGTCCCGCTCCATCTTGTCATCAGTTTGGGGGTACTTAGCCTGGAAAACTATGAAGACCCCTGGATTAATGCTCTCCTTGCTAAGCTTGCCATTAAATAAACAGCTCAGTCACCATCCAGCAAATACCAGCACCTTTATGAGAACACTGTGAAAGACTTCCCAGCCATGGATAATGTCAAAGATTCCAGCTCTCCAGCTTTCACTGATCGTTCCCTGAAGGTCACAGGAAATGTTGCAGTGACTTTTTTAGGTACCCCTGAGGGAACACTCTGTAAGGACCCCCTGGAAGGTTATTTTTCAGTCGTACCTGGTCTGCTCAGCTTCTGAAGTCGATTCTGCAGAGAAGGTTCAGGCATGAAAGCCTCTCTGCTGCTGCTCAGCCATTTAAAAATAAAGGAAATCATCTAAACTAATCTCAGTCCCAGATACTGTACTAGAATAGCCTCTATGTTCAAATAGGAGGCAAAAACTCCCTATAACTTTCAAATGCATGCAAAGCTATAGAAATATTAAGGTACAGATGACAAAAACAGAAGCTGATGCATGTCTGACTCCCTTTCTAATGCCGCCCTGGGCAACTGCACATATAGCAGAGAAACCAATATGTGCTGCTGAAACTGGAAGAAAGCAGCTTTTATTATGTTAATTAGATAAATAAAACACAGCAGCTTGTTTTTTTGTTTTGTTTTTACCGGATAAAGCTGTTTTACCCAGCAGGTAGTTTATATTTTTACCCTAAGCTGTCAGAGGTACGTGTCATCTCAAAACGTCTGCTTTCCTGTCTGCAAAAAAAAACACGTTTATTTAAATAAAAAACTCCTCTCATACCACCAGGTGGCCATTTCTCTTGTGCAACAAAACAAAATAAAACATTATATTCTGTGCTAATGTTGCAAACTCTGCACAAGACAATCATTGCACACGGTGAAATAGTTACATTGATAGGGATGTCACTGACTGAAAGAGAAGAGTCCAATTTATTCTCTCCTGTTTGTTGAAAATTCAAGTATGATGAAATGATAGATTAGCATTGTGGAAAGATGTGTTTGTAATCATAGAAAAAAAAGATGTTTTACAGGCGTCTTTAACCTGTTGCTCTATGGACCTTTTGCAGTGGCTCTTAAGAACTTCAGACAAAGTTAATGTTTTTTTTTAGTTTGTTTTTAAACGTTGAATAACCTTAAAGGCACCAGTAATGTTTTTTAGTAGGAGTGCACTGATTGCAGTTTTCTAGCCGATCTCCGATCATTAAAAAGCCTGACATGCTGAATCTGATTTTGACCAATATTTATTTTTATTCATCTCAGTCTTTTAGAAGATCTCAATACATTTTTTACAAATCTAATTTTATTTTGTTGAAATAGAGAAAAAAAAACTGCACTAAATGTAAAGGTCTTAAATTCAAAGAGTGGCCTTTGAAGAGGTATATAAGACGGATGGATAACACACAGATTAGTAATCTCTAAAGATTAAAGAAATCGAGACGAAAGGATCTGCAGATTGATCAGTGTTTCTTTGGCCACTGTTGGAAACAATTACATCTGCAACACCAGTTTCCACAGATATCAACATCACAACAGGAATGTATCCACCCTTTTTTGTTAGTTTGCCAAAAAGTTTTCCGTTTTTAAGCCTAAAAAAACACATGTCCTTGTAGATATTTATAAAAAATGTCTTTAATCTCTAAACTCAACATTTGCTGCAAGTAGCGTTTATTATTATACATCAAAATAAAAAAAAGACTTTGGCTGTCATATATATATATATATATATATATATATATATATATATGAATATAAATTTCTACACAGATGTAGAATTTTTTTATAAAGTAGACTTATAGTAGTCTACTTTTCTTGTTGTTTTCCTCTTGTCACGATTTGGTATTGGATTGAGGACCCAAAAGCAGAGGCAAGTAGGCAGAGGTCAATTTAGGTGGGTTTAATGAGGTTCACAGGTACAGAGGCAGGAATCAAAAAATCCAACAAAAATAA